TAGGAGGAGAGGTGTTCTGGTTTCAGGTGTTTTCATCCTTTTTGCGCTGGTTTCTTCCCATCTTTAAGGATTTATCCACCTGTCGCCTTTGTAGTTGCTGGCTTTCAGATTGGGTCTCAAATCTTTCACATTGACGTTCTGTTTGTTGATGATGAGGTTATTTCTGTTTCTTGGTTTTTCTTCTGACAGCCTGACCCCTCTGCTGTGGGTCTGCTGAGGTTCCCTCCAGGCCCTCCTTGCCTGGGGTTCACCTGCAGCAGCTGCTGAACAGTAAGGGTTGTTACCAGCTTTCTTCTTCTGCTATCTTTGTCCCAGAAGGATACCCGCCTAGTGTCAATCTGATCACTCTTTTATGAGGTGTCTCTTTGGATATATAGGGGTCAGGGAGCTGCTTGAGGAGACGGCCTCTTCTTTATAGGAGCTCAAATGGTGATCTGTGAGCTCTGTTGTTGTTCATTCAGAGCTGCTGGGCAGGTACGTTTAGGTCTGCTGCAGCAGAACTCATAAACTGCTTTTTGTTCCCAGGTGCTCTGTCCCAGGGATTTAGGACTTTATTTATGAGTTTCCGTTATGCTGCTGCCTTCTTTTTTTTTTTTTTCCTTCAGACCTGCCCTGCCCAGCAAGGAGGCAGCCTAGTCACTGTCGGCCTATAGAGGCTTTGCTGAGCTGCTGTGGGCTCTGCCCGGCTGCCGAGTGAACTTCCCTGCAGTCCTGTTTATATGGGTGTAGTTAGAACTGCTTTGACGATGGTGGCCCGCCTCTGTTGAGACGGAGTCTCTCTGCTGTGGCGGGTTGTCTTGGCAACGGCAGGCTGCCTCAGCATTGGTGGGTTGCCTTGGCAATGGCGGGTTGCCTTGGCAATGGCGGGCTGCCTCAGTAATGGCTGACTACGTCCGTAGTGGTGGGCTGCCTCGGTAATGGCAGACGCCCCTCCCCCACAGAGCTGGACAGTCCCGGGTTCAGCTGCGCTTGCTGTGAAAGTCTCAATCCAGAGTTTCTGGTTGCTGTTGTTTTGTGGGGCTGGGATCAGCCAAGCCTGATCACCTGGCTCCCTGCCTCAGAGCCTTTTTTAAGTTGGTGTTCCAGTCGCCTGTTGAAGAGGCGCCAGGGTCTGTTTGTTTTCCCGTGCGGCCACTCACTGCGCTGGCTTAAACAGTGGCACTGAGGTTTGTGGTGCTTCTTTTTTTTTTTTTTGCCCTGGAATCTACTGTCCTGGTTCCCTGCTCAGTCCCCTTTTTAAACAGATGATTGGGTGACTTCCCGTGGCTCCAATCGCCAGCCAAAAGGGCACCCAGACCGGTGTATTTTGTACGGAGAACTGCTGCTCCGGGGCGCCGACAAAGCAGCCGCGTGGGGCAAAGCAGCGGCACCGGCCGGCACAGACGAGCTGGCCGAAACAGCCACGCTGGTGACTTGTGGAGCTCCTCTGCCTGGGAATTTCCTAGGCTGTGGGCAATAAAAATGCAGCGTCCACTCACCCTCTGCACTTTCACTGGGAGCTACAATCCTGAGCTGTTCCTAAATGGCCATCTTGGATCCTCCTCAAGAAAAGAATTTTCAACCCAGAATTTCATATTCAGCCAAACTAAGCTTCCTAAGTGAAGGAGAAATAAAATCCTTTCCAGACAAGCAAATGCTGAGGGATTTCATCACCACTAGGCCTGCCTTGCAAGAATTCCTAAAGGAAGAACTAAATATGGAAAGGAAAAACCTGTACCAGCCATTGCAAAAACACCTAAACATATAGACGAATGACACTGTGAAGAAACTGCATCAACTAGTGTGCAAAATGACCTGACAGCATCATGAGGACAGGATCAAATTCATACATAACAATATCAACTTTAAATATAAATGGGCTAAATGCCCCAATTAAAAGACACAGACTAGCAATTTGGATAAAGAGTCAAGACCCATTGGCATGCTGTATTCAGGAGACCCACCTCACTTCCAAAGACACACATAGACTCAAAATAAAGGGATGGAGGAAAATTTACCAAGGAAACAGAAAGCAAAAAAGAGAAGCAGAAGTGGTAATCCTAGTTTTTGACAACACAGACTTTAAACCAACAAAAATCAAAAAAGACAAAGAAAGGCATTACATAATGATAGAGGGATTGATTCAATAAGAAGAGCTATCATGAACATAGATGCAACCAATACAGGAACACCCAGATTCATAAAAAAAAAATTCTTAGAGATCTACAAAGGGACTTAGACTCCCACACAATAATAGGAGACATTAACACCCCACTGTCAATATTAGACAGACCAACAAGATAAAAAATTAACAGATATTCAAGACTTCCACTCAGTTCTGGACCAAAAGGACCTAAAAGACATCTACAGAACTTTACACCTCAAATCAACAGAATATTCATTTTTTTTAGTGCCACATGACACTTATTCTAAAATCAACCATATAATGGGAAGTAAAACACTCCTTAGCAAATGCAAAAGAAAAGAAATAATAACAATCTCTCAGATAGTGATCAAATCAGAACCCAAGGTTAAGAAACTGACTCAAAACCACATGATTACATTACAGCTTCCTTAATGACCCCTGGGTAAATAATGAAATTAAGACAGATATAAGAAGTTCTTTGAAACCAATGAGAACAAGGAAGGAGACCATGTACCAGAATCTCTGGGACACAGCTAAAGCAGTGTTAAGAGGGAAATTTATAGCAGCAAATGCCCACATCAGAGAGCTAGGAAGATCTCAAACTGACACACTAACATCACAATTAAAACAACTAGAGAGGCAAGAGCAAACTAATCCAAAATCTAGCAGGAGACAATAAATAACTAAGATTAGAGCAGAATTGAAGGAGATAGAGACATTAAAAACCTTCCAAAATAACGAATCCAGGAGCTTGTTTTTTGAAAAAAACTATCAAAATAGACCACTAGTTAGTCTAATACAGAAGAAAAGAGAGAAGAGTGAAATAGACACAATAAAAAGTGATAAAAAGATGTCACCACTGACCCCATAGAAATAAAAACTACCAACAGAAAATACTGTCAATACCTCTACACAAATAAACTATAAAATCTAGAAGAAATGGTTAAATTTCTGGACATATACACCCTCCCAAGACTAAACCAGGAAGAAATCTAATCTCTGAATAGACCAATAACAAGTTCTGAAATTGAGGCAGTAATTTATAGTGTACCAACCAAAAAAAACAAACAAAAAAACCACCCAGGACCAGTCAGATTCACAGCTGAATTCTACCAAAGGTGTAAAAAGGAGCTGCTACCATTTCTTCTGAAACTATTCCAAGCAACTGAAAAGGGGGCACTCCTCCCTAACTCATTTTATGAATCCAGAGTCATCCTGACACCAAAACTGGGAAGAGACAACAAAAACTTCAGGCCAATATCTCTAATGAACATTGATGCAAAAATCCTCAATAAGGTACTGGCAAACCAAATCCAACAGCACATCAAAAAACTTATCCACTGTGATCAAGTTGGCTTCATCTCTGGGATGCAAGGCTAGTTTATTCATTTATGCAAATGAATAAACGTAAACCATCACATAAACAGAACCAGTGGCAAAAACCACAGTATGTCAATAGATGCAGAAAAGACCTTTGATAAAATTCAACACCCCTTTATGGTAAAAACTCTCAATAAAATAGGTATTGATGGAACATATCTCAAAATAATAAGAACTATTTATGACAAACCCACCACCAATATCATAATGAATGGGCAAAAGTTGGAAGCATTCCCTTTGAAAAATGGTACAAGACAAGGATACCCCCTCTCGACACTTCTATTTAATGTAGTATTGGAAGTTCTGCAAAGCATAATCAGGCAAGAGAAAGAAATAGGGCGTATTCAAATAGAAAAAGAGGAATTCAAATTGTCTCTGTTTGTAGATGATATGTTTCTATATTTAGAAACCCCGTCATCTCTGCCCCAAAACTCCTTAAGCTGATAAGCAACATCACCAAAGTCTCAGGATACAAAACCAATGTGCAAAAATTACAACCATTTCTTTACACCAACAATAGACAAGCAGAGAGCCAAATCATGAATGAACTCCCATTCACAATTGCTACAAAGAGAACAAAATACCTAGAAATACAGTTAACAAGGGACATGAAGGACATCTTCAAGTAGAACTACAAACCACTTCTCAAGAAAATAAAACACACAGACAAATAGAAAAACATTCTATCCTCATGGACAGGAAGAATCAATATAGTGAAAATGGCTGTACTGCCCAAAGTGGTTTATAATTAAATGCTATTCACATCAAACTGCCATTGACATTCTTAACACAATTAAAAAACCCAACTTGAAATTTCATACAGAATCAAAGAAAACCCCAAATAGCCAAGACAATTCTAAACAAAAAGAACAAAGCTGGAGGTATCACGCTATCTGACTTCAAAGTATATACAGGGCTACAGTGACTAAAACAGCATGATTGGCATCAAAACAGACGTATAGACCAATGGAACAGAACAGAGAGCTCAGAAATCTACACACACATCTACAATCATCTAATCTTTGACAAACCTGACAATAAGCAGTGGGGAAAAATCTCCTATTCAATAAATGGTGCTGGGAAAACTGGCTAGCCATATGCAGAAAACTGAAACTGGACTCCTTCCTTATACATTATATCAATATTAATTCAAGATGTATTAAACACTTAAATGTAAAACCCAAAACCATAAAATCCTTAGAGGAAAACCTAGGCAATACCATTCAGGACATAGGCATGGGTAAAAACTTCATGATGAAAACACCAAAAGCAATTGCTACAAAAGCCAAAATTGACAAATGGAATCTAATTAAACAAAGGAGCTTTTGCACAGCAAAATAAACTATGATCAGAGCGAATAAGCAACCTAAGGACTGGGAGAAAATTTTTGCAATCTACTCATCTGACAAAGGTCTAATATACAGAATCTACGGAACTTAAACAAATTTACAGGAAAAAAAAACAAGCAACCCCATCAAAAAGTGGGCAAAGGACATAAACTGACACTTCTCAAAAGAAGACATTTATGCGGCCAACAAACATATGAAAAGAAGTTCAACATCACTGTTCATTAGAGAAATGCAAATCAAAACCACAATGAAATGCCATCTCATGCTAGTCTGAATGGCAATGATTAAAAGTTCAAGAAACAATAGATGCTGGTGTGGCTTTTCCACTATTGGTGGGAATGTAAATTAGTTCAGCTATTGTGGAAGACAGTGTAGTGAATCCTCGAGGATCTAGAACCAGAAATACTATTTCACTCAGCAATCCCGTTACTCAAAGGATTATAAATCATTCTGCTATAAAAACACATACACACATGTTTACTGCAGCACTACTTTCAATAGTAAAGACGTGAAACCAACCCAAATGCCCATCGATGATAGACTGGATAAAGAAAATGTGGTACATAATACACCATGGAATACCATGCCATCATAAAAAGGAATGAGATCATGTCCTTTGCGGGGACTCGGATGAAGCTGGAAGCCATCATGCTCAGCAAACTACCACAGGAACAGAAAACCAAACCTGCATGTTCTCACTAGTAGGAGTCAAATAATGAGAACATATGGACACAGGGAGGGGAACAACACACACCAGGGCATGTTGTGGGGTGGAAAGAGAGGGGAGGGAACTTAGAGGATGAGTCAATAGGTGCAGCAAACCACCAGGACACAAATATACCTATGTAACAAAACTGCATGTTCTGCAAATGTATCCTGGAACTGAAAATAATTTTTAAAAAGATTAGTAATGTTAGTATTGTTAATGAAGGGATAATCTTTAGAACTAAATTTGATTGTACTTCCCATTTGACCAAAAATAACTATCGTTTCCCCTAGTATTTCCATAAGAAAATTAAGGCTATGTATGTCTCTTTTGAATTGTTTAGAACATTAAATCAACGTCTTAAAAATCATGATTAGTTTTCTATATTCTCAGGGATCCCTCTTGTCTTTTTCTGGTTAGTTGGTTATTTCATAAATTTACTGTTACATTCAGCTGATTAAAACTATATAAAAATATCAGTGTAGCAATTTGGGTTCTCCGCAGAAATGGTAAATAAGTTGTGCTGTGCATTTGCCATCATTCACCCCCCATGAGCTTCTGACAGACAATGATAATCAGTTACGGAGCATTTTCCAACTGGGCTTGATAGTGAGACATTTCAGTTGGCACTTCAGTCAAAACATATTTGCTGGCTTGATGTGAACTACGAATTGCATTTCCAACCCTGGTTGGCTCTCTTGCTTGGGAGAGAAAGTATAGTCAGGGTTAACACAAATGTATTGCCTCTACTAGAAAATCGATTCTGAGAGCTTGCTCTGCTGATATATAATCAGAACTGCAGCTGTGTATATAAAGGACAGGATGCTACTAATGACCCAAACTGAGGAGGCTTTATTGGAGCCAATATATACCCATGAATCCAACTTACAGAGGACTCCTAGCCAACCTTACCCCCAGCTCTGACAAAATATTATCAGGACAGCAGGGAGCAAGGATTCTCCCATTTATCAAATGATTAACTTGAGATTTGAGGCAAGTTATTGAACTAGAACAATAGAGAATCTATACAGTAACTGAAGCCAGTGTGCTAAAATATTTTTTTATCTCAGAAAAATTCAGCTCTATACTTATGCCAGATGCCCTTGTTAATTAGTAGTATCTTATGCTAATGCCAGTATGCTCTTTTGCCAACCACATGCAATAGACATTTTTAACTCCTGCATTTACTTTCTTTCTTTCTTTTTTTTCTTTTGAGACAAACTCTTGCTCTGTCGCCTAGGCTGTAGTGCAATGGTGTGAACCCGGAGCACTACAACCTCTGCCTCCCGGGTTCAAGTGATTCACATGCTTTAGCCTTCCAAGTATATAGGATTACAGGCACCCGACACCATGCCCAGCTAATTTTTGTGTTTTTAGTAGAGGGAATTGTTGGCCAGGCTGGTTGTAAACTCCTGAACTCAGGTGATCTGCCTGCCTCAGCCTGCCAAAGTGCCGGATTACAGGTGTGAGCCACCATGCCTGGCCTGCATTTACTTTTAGAAATAAAAGCTTAAAACCGATAGCTATGTGTGACTTAGATACCTTGTGGTCTTTATTGGTGAAGATCGTGCAATTTTACATGTTCTGACCAGATACTAGTACCCTCTGGACACTTAATCAATGTTAAATAAAACATAAGACTTGGAAAAGAAATGATATTAGCATATATATGTCCACTGGTTGTTGCTTTTGTGCTTTCCTTTTCATAAGCTTTAGGACATCCTCTTAGAGCAACTAAGCAGGACAATTGCATTATCTATAATCATTAGTTTCTCTCTGATTCACTCTTTATAATTGGCATCACTACATTTACTTAAACTAAATTTGAAAAAAGAGGTAGTGATTGAATACAGCCAGTTAAGTGAACCAGCCAGAATGAACAGTGATTAGTAATGAAAAAAGATAATGATATGCATTGTGATAATTACTGCAATGCTTTCCTATCAAATGACCCATTTAATTTCTTTCTTTTTCACTAATTGGCAGGCTCCTTCTGCAAGTATTTTCAGAATAGAGTGTTTATTTTAAAACTAGTTGAGTCAAATCAGTTGTGACATTCATCTTTATTTATCCTGACAATGCATGGAGACAAATGAATGAAAAAACTATATTTCTAAGTGATCTATCCCCCTCACCAACCCCAATCACAGTTTCAACTCCCTCTTGTGAGGTTTTTTGGTCACTATCTTAATGTCACCTGGCAGGTTTGGCATTGACCCACAGCAAAATTTTCCACAATTGATCCATTCCCACCTTCCAATGAATATTAATAACAAAGCTTCAATCCTACTCAGTAGAATTTGTCCTTCCATAAAATAAACTTTTTCTGATGTTTTTCACTTTTCAATGTCATTACCAATGTCCTGGATGGGACTTAAGGCTATGCCGAAGAGCTGCTGTGATGACAGAATATAGCATTCTTCTCAGGTCACCTATGAAAAAGCAACCTGTCTTTATTATTCAAATCAATTTTCTGCTTCTGATCTTGAGTCCATCTGACAGTTGGGTTACTATGTTAGGCACTATGACGTTCACATCATTTTCACCTGTTTTGTTTACTTTTTCTCACGGTGTTTCTGTAAAGCTCAGCAACTTTGGGATTATGTGGCTTTTGTTGGCATTTTCATTTGGTGGTTCTGGCTATGTCCCTCAAGATCAAAATAACTTATCAGTTAAATAAAAAAAAAAAACAGCTGAAATTTGAAGACTGGTCCTGAAGTACAAAGACATGAGTTTACCTCTGGATTCTTCCAATTACTGGATGTGCGACTTTTGTTTAGGATCTTGGGGCCTCAGTTTCTTTAAGTTTAGTAATACTCATTTAAGAAGGCAGTAGCCTCCAACTGCCTTC